ATGTTTCATTGTTTACAGAGTCACAGATAAGATTCTCCATAAAAATATATTATTTTAGCCTAGTCCTAGGACACCTTCAAACAGAGTAAAACTCCTGTTCTACAAACAAATCCTTTCAGAGATTATTTAAATATGCCAGTGATTTTGGATACTTTGTACCCAGATATCAAGACTATTGAAGTGAGCTAGAATTCCACATCAAGAATATAATTGTTGATATACAAACATTACATAAATTACTAGATTGTGAAAAATACATCAGATTTTCTCTGTAAGTTTGCAGCAAATAAAACAAAAAAGCAACCTCAAGGGTGTCTCTCCCGATTCAAGGATGAAATGCACAATGTCTGAGGTACACCCACCCCTCACCACAGCACACACTACTACGCCGGGAGGGGTGCCTGCCTGTCACTTGGTGCGAGCAGACCGCAGAGTTCCCAGTATTTTGTCCCAGTGTGTGAAGTAAGGGGCGAAGTTGCAGGTAAACTGGGAGTGATGCAGGTCGTGGTGTTCCACGCCCCCATACCACCCGAAAGGTACCAGTTTGTGCGTGGACCAGGGGAAGTCGTAGCCCGAGTGGTCCTCCACCGACAGCCAGATGTTGACCACGTGGAAGGTCAGGACAGTGAGCGGGTGGCACTGGAGCAGCAAGACGTTCATCATGTCAAAGAAACCCAAGGAAAACAGCTCCCCGATGCTCATGTATTGCGTGGCCAGCGCGAACGGGGACGGGTTCTGGTGGTGCATCTTGTGGAAGGTCCGGTACAGCCAGGGCACCTTGTGGTGCAGCACGTGCCACACGAAGAACTCGGTGTCGAAGAGCAGCAGGCAGAGCACGACGTGGCGGACCAGCTGGAGCAGCTCGGGGGCTTCGGGGGGCAGGAGGGCGGGGCTGGCCGCCCAGTGCAGCAGTGTCATGGGGAACACGAACACCACGTGCTGGTAGAGCGTCTGCCCCAGACAGGGCAGCAGCTGCCAAGCCGACGGCGAGAAGTCAGGGTGGATCTTGTAGCGCCGTAGCGCGGGCACCCAGGGGCACAGGACGTCCAGCACCACGAAGGGCAGGCAGAAGCCCACGTAGGTGGTGATGGAGAAGAAGACGGGGAAGAAGGGCGACTGGATGAGGGCCTCCCAGGTCCTCAGGCGGTCCCAGAGGGGCTGCAAGAACAGCTGGCCAGAGCTGCAGAGGACGTGGAGCTCGGAGCCGTTGTGGCTGCTCATGATGAGGTGGTGTCTGGCAGCGGCTGCCGCTCGGGTCCTACCCACTTTTCTTAGGGCTTTCGGCCCCGCCCCGAGTGATGTCAGCCGCCGTTTTGCTCCCTTTCCCGGCTTCGGGGAGCTTGCATAATTAAACAATCCAACAGAGTTGCGCTTAGTTGCTATAAATACTCATCTACAGCTGCATTTAATCGGCATTCATGTATGCAGTTACGCAATGGCACGCAGTACTTTCTATGCATGCAGGATTACGTTCTGATTTTCTAATTGACGTACAATTTACACACGATACCATGCACAGATCTTCAGTGGAGTTTCTACGAGTTCTGACAACTCAATTCATGGATCATCACCATTCCCAAACAAGATGAAGAATATTTCCATCATCACCGGAAAGAGCTCCTTTGCAACCAATGCAGAATTACTTGTGTTTTTTCACGCATACGTAAAATTGCGTCTATGTGCTTTAATAAAGATACAAGTGTAACTGCATTTAAAAACAAAAAACTTCTAAAAGCCACGTACCTTTCGTAGTTCGGATCTTTTCTTTCTGCTCTCGCCGTATTGATCTAACCAGTAGTGATCAGCAAACTCCCCTTTTGCAGTTAACTACCCTTTTGCAGTTTTCCGCGGCGACGAGCCGCGCAGGAAGTCAGACTGGCGGGACGGGAACCTCCTCCAGTTTCAGTGTCTCCGGTGAGGAGCTATGCCCGCCAGCTCGCAGACTGCTCCAGATCCCACCTCACGCAGACTCCCCCGGAGGAGCCCCCAAACCTGGCGGGCGGGTCGTCCCTTCGCGGCGCGCCGGGGTCGCCCAGACCAGCGACGGGAACCTGGAGGCACGGAGGGAAGAGAGGGGACCGCGACTGTTATCCTTCACTTTACAAAAAAAAAAGAAAAAAGTAAGTCAAGGGCTGGATTTAACATCCAGAGCCTGCCCAGATCTGGCTAAAAGCCGCTGCATCTCAATTTGGGGTGGAAGCAGTGAAATCAATAAACCACCCACTTTGGGGAATCAAGGGAATATTTTTGCATTCTGGAAGCCTCAGGGGAGGCTGTTGATTGAACAGATGATGTCACGCCCTCCCTACCTTTCCCTTGCTGGCTTGGCGACGCCAACTTGCCCCACGTCCTTGACGCCTGTTACCCCAAACCATCCCAGGCTCAGAGAGCCCACCGGCGAGGCCACGCTCACCTCTGCGTTTCTCCACCATCAGCTGGAGTCGACTGGCCTGGACTGAGCCTGAGGAAGCCGGTACTAGGAGAGATTTGCTGGGTCGGGGCGGGGGCAGGGGGTGACCCCGGAACTTGCATGAAAAGCAAGCTCCGCGTTTGACCCGGCGGCCAGACACAAGGGGCGCCTAGAGGATAGAAGTTTGGGACGGAAACTTCGAGGCCTGGGATCGCTCCTAACCCTAGCTTTGCCTCTTCTTGCCTCACAATGCGGATGGGGCCAGCGCCTCTCTCCATGAAGCTTTGCGTATTCTTATCACCCCTTCCTTTCCAAAGGGAAATAATAGTAGCCACCGCATGAGGCCACTGCAAGCATTAAATGAGAAAACAATAACAATAATGTTAAAGTTACTATGTAACGTCTGCCAGGCATTAACTAAGTGTTTTACTTGAAGTGATTTCATCCAGTCCTTAGAAGAGCAGGGTCTGCCACACTGCCAAGATGATTATTGCCATGGTCTTACAGAAGGAAAAGTATAGTGCCTGGAACAGAGTTACAGAATGAGACATATTATTTTAAATGTGTACTCCACATTTTGCCTAAAGAATAATTGAGGAAGTTTGCATTTAAAATCAAATAAAGTTATGTAAAGAGAAATAAAAAGCCATATACTGTGAGGAAATAAGTACAACAAAAATATAGACCAATATATGGGCCTAAAATAGATGATATGTAATAGTCCAATTCATAACACATATATTAATATATGATATATATGGGATGTTTTATGTGTATGTATACACACACACACACCTATAATAGGTCAATTCATAACTCAGAACCTCCTTGAACTGCCACTAATGGAAGACGGATATTCCTTAGATGCCCATTCTCTGGAACCCCCAGCCTCTGGCCTTACCGCAGCCTTTTTTCTATTTTTTAAACTCAGTTGGCCATAAGAATATTATGATATTCTGCTTGTGTCTTGATCAGATAAATGTTCAGAAGCAGCTTTGAGCTTCTTGATAGCCAATGTGAAAAAGGAAAGGGGGTGAATTTTCTAATGTTGCTTGGATATCTGGATGGTAGCAGAGACAAGGTACCATGCCGGCCCTTGGCCTCCCTGCTGGGGGGTTTCTCCCAGTTAGACAGCCTGTCCTTTCTAGGCTTCTCTTCAATCTTCCCCCTCCTCCACTGCTCTTTGCAGTTCACCTTTAGGACAACCCAGGCACTTTCTTCTTTCCCATTCCTAGCAGACATCACCCTACCTTTGAATTTTTGTATAACTCAAGCAGCAACTCAGAGAGAAGAGGAGGGCTTTTTCTCCTTTACTTTTTTGGGGGGGGTGTTGGGGGGGTGGGGTGATTTTTAAGAAGTTTATTTGAGAATTACACCACACTACTGAACGTCTCTTATGCCATTTACTAAGCCTTCACTCTTGGGCCCCTCAATGCTCCAGAGGGACCATCAAAGCTCATTTTCTCAGACTTTACAAATGAATTCTGCTCAGTAAAATATCACTCAGATTTGCCCTCCACAGAAATTAAGTCAACCTTCAAATTTCTATTCAGCACATGCTGTTCTTTTCTTTGGTTTCAGCTCTCATGCTTGAATGCTTTGGATTCTCTCAGATTTAAGTGGGTGGCTTCATTTGCTTAATTTGGATTTAGCTAATAGATTGCTACCAGGACTGCCTCCTCTGAGGCCCCAGCCTCAACCAACACGTTCTTTTCCGTACTTGATTCTTCCACCCTCTATCCCTAAGCCTGTTAGAATATGCTCCATAAAACCCTGAACAGCAACACCTGAAGCCACAGCTTCAGCCTGCTTGGCCCAGGCTCTCCCCTCTCACCCGCAGCAGCACTTTGAAGAATAGCCACCAGCTTCTCTGCCTTTCCAGCCCATGAAGCCCCCCAGGACAGAAGTCTGTGTCCTCCTATCTACAAATGCAATTGTCTCGGGGAAAGTGGTCAGTTAAAATCTCATCAGTTGTCCACTCTCTCTCATGGAGGATGCTGAAACAGTAGGCACGACATTTTGACCGATCAAAACCAGCATCACTTAATGGACCCAAATAAAATTGAGCCCTATTTAGCCTTGACTTAAGTGGTGCCATTTCCTGCATTGGCAAACATGCACCTTTAAACACTTTAAACTTACACAAAATTTAGTTAATGGCTTGCCAGATGAATAGGTCGTTTTAGGGCACAGAGTCTATCGTCTAGGATTTTTTTCCCACAGTGTCAAGCATCATATGAGGTTCAAAAGATATCTGTGAACTCAATGCTCATTTTAGAAGATATTGGCTTTAAATCGAGGCTTAAAAAGGAATCATTTTTTCTGGGGCACTGGCTGATATCATTTAAGTCTATTTACTTACTGGGATTACTGGGATGGCTTTCCATAGAAGGGGGTGTTTACTGACTTGTGACGGTGTTAGGATTTTGGCCACACTATTTCTTGTGCTTCTCCAGTTGGTTTTGACTTCTGTGTATTTTTATCTTGGCGTGGTCTTTCTGACAGAGATCCAATCACTTTTCTGAGAGTACACCAATCGGGTCTGTGCATATTTAACACAATCTCAAAGCTATTTGGTACCAACTCACCAAAAGACAACGTGTAATGCCCCCGCCACCCCCACAAGAAAAAACAGAAGATGTAGTTGGAAAAACCCTTTACCAATAACACCATCTCTTTTTTTGCATGGCCTTTACAATTATTTTTTCTTTCCATAATTAGGTGAGACTGTGTTGGCATCTATCTAACCGAAACGGTTATTCCTGGGTATCAGAGATGAGAAGTGTTTTAACATTTTACAGCTGTAACACGTAAAACTCATAGAGGGTGGAGCAAACTCAAAGATCAAAATCTAATCCCTCCTTGTAAAAATGAAGACTCAGTCTCAGAAAAGTCAAGACTAGCTAAGGTGCAATAGGAAGTAAGAGCCAAACTGCGAGCAGAACTTGGTCAGTGTCAATTTCAAGGTAGGTACCTCTACAGGAGGAGTTTGGTGCTGGAGTGGGGCATCCAAGTTGCATTTACGGGGCAGTTTGCAAAAGACTCAGAAAATAATAATTATCAACACCAAAACAGTAGGGGATGCTGATGAAGAACTTGGGGGGAAGGGTATAAGCTCCCCCAAGAGAGTCCTTGATGGCCTTATTTGACACAGATGCTGATACATACTTGGTTTTGTTTGCTTGTTGTTTTGCGGTACGCGGGTCTCTCACTGTTGTGGCCTCTCCCATTGCGGAGCACAGGCTCCGGACGCGCAGGCTCCGCGGCCATGGCTCACGGGCCCAGCTGCTCCGCTTCATGTGGGATCTTCCCAGACCGGGGCACGAACCCGTGTCCCCTGCATCGGCAGGCGGACTCAACCGCTGCGCCACCAGGGAAGCCCCATACTTGGTTTTAAAAGTGTTCTCTTTATATTTTGATCCATCTGTGTCACATGTAAGTACTGACATTGTTGGAACTCTCAACAACCTGCTTAAAATATTTAAAGCATAGAAAATCATCCCCATTAAAAGGCATACCGTTGCCTGTAAAGCAGAGAAAATACTCACCTTACCCGTCAGAGGGGTGTTGTAAAGATCAAAGCCTTATGAGAAGGCTTCAAAACCCCGGAAGGCACAGTGTAAAAATGCAAAGTATTTGTTTTAGTACTACTAAACCAAGTTGGTAGAGAAGGTTTTACTTGTTTAGTTTGGAATTGATCTTGAAATCTGTACCTTGCACAGTACAATAAATACTCAATAAATACTCTTGAATGAATCACTGACAAACTTTTTTAAAATCAGAATTATGATAACCTGATGTTGTCTTTCAGGGGTCACATTTTGAAAATCTCTCCATATATCAAAAAAACAATGACGAGTTAAAATTACAGGATACTTTAAAGGCATACATTTAACAAATTAACACATTTCATACCCACAAACACAAAATAATCATTGTTTGGAGATGATATCATCAGTCTTAATAAGTGTGAAGCCTTGGTTAAAGCATTCCCCACTTCCTCCTCATGTCTGAGGTTCTGACCACTCTTAGCTATTAGGCAAGTTTTTATTTTCATGTCCCATTTGGGGCACAGTTATTCTTTGAGAACGTTTTTCAGATATTACGAATTAGGCAAGAATTAGTTATAATCCTGGACAGAAATGACCACAGACGTGGTTGGTCTTATCAGTCCTCAAATTACCAGTTGCCTCCTCAATCAGCAAAGTTCTCTGCCTAGCCCAGAAAAGGTTAAGAAGCAGGGCCAAGAGCGCCCCCTTATGGCGGATGAAAAAAATGACTTCATTCTCAATTGTGACTTCATGTAGTGGCTTTACCCAAGTAAACAGAAGATCTTGGAGTTCCAAGTTGACGGAATATTAACTAGTCTTCTCCTTGCCCTAGAGGTCTGTGGAGATCTTTGTGTTCTGCTCAAAAGAATATATAGCAAACCCAGTGGAAAAGAAGAGAGTCAGAACTCCTCCCAACCTGTTACAGGACTTCTCAAGGTACAAGGTCCAATCTTGTTCTGCACTGTCAGCCAATGGTGAAACAAAGCTACATGAATGCAGCTAGGGTTGTAAGGATTTAAGAGCCTACACAGCTGCATCAGGAGCAAGAGGCCAGCAACAAAGGCAAATGCACCGTGTAGCCCAACTGTAGCAAAAACCACCACGCAACATCTCCACCCCTGGACTGGCCCACATACTGAAGAAAAATCCCCAAAGAAAAGTTTGGGAAGGAGGTGAAGAGAAAAACACTCCAACAACAGGTGGACTCTATAGAATGTAGCCCCTGCTCATTCATTCCCGTGGTCTGAGTGGCAGATTTACTGACCACAAGTTCTCAAGGGCATCGGAAGGAGACTCCATGGCAGCAACCAAAGAAGGGAAACCAAGTCATCTACGACACAGAAGCCATTCTCCGACGAGCTCTCTCCCACTACTGCTAGAAAACAACAAACAAAAACATCCACTCACTGTCCTGTTCTTTCTGGCCCTGACCCAAGAATCTTGTACCTGGTTGGCCAAACCAGTTTGCCTTGATCAAAGGAGAAAGAATTGTTCTTTCTTTAGGGGGACATAAGGCCAGTGGGGAGAGTGGCATCCTCCTGGGGACGTATATCCCTCGCATCTAGTACAATTTTACTCTTTTCTTTACAATTTCACTTTAGTTGCCATGAAAAATCAGATTCCACTTCAGACCCTCCCAGATGTTACTTGTGCATCTAATTTCATATAGCTAAATGACAAAGTCCATCACTTGTCACACATTCTGTCAGTCCGCATATATTTATTAACTCACTAATATTCCAGGTATTGTGTTAGATTCTGGGCATACAGAGATAAGTAAGATATATCTTCAAGCTTACAGAGTAGTGGGAGAGATCACATTAGACCCCTAAATCTATGTTTTGGGGGCCCTATGGCATTGTCTCTGCCAGCTTTGGTTGCTTCATTTGTCCAAGGAGAGCAGTTGATGGACAGTCCTTGAATCCAGGGGCCCACCTGCAGCCACTGCCTGCAAATGGGGTTAGTCAGGGCTGTCTCCACTCACAGCCTCGCTCAGTGGAAAGTGCGGATTTCCAAACCATCACCCACCCCTCCTTAGGTTTAAGACCATTTTCCTCCCCATGGGAGAGGATCAAAGGTTTGCGGGCAGTTTGTTTGATTAAACAGAAAAAGCACAAGCATTTCTTATCCTAACTGGAGAGAACTGGGCATCTTCAACGGCATAGTTTTCTTGAATATAAAAATACAAAACGCCTGGGAAAGGAAAACAAGTATATTTAGAGAAATTAAGCAAACAAATTTAACATGACTTGACAGTAAATGTCTCCAGTCTGGCGTTCACTGATACTTCCTCATTAGATTTATCATTTCACTATAGAGCCGCCACGGGGCATCCAAGCCCCAGATGAAGTCAAGATGCTCCCACTCAGGAATGTGCTCGTGGTACACCATGTTGGAGATCTGGGTCAGTAAGACATTGACGTCGCTGACGTCCGCGAGCCAGTCCTGCCCCCCACTCCAGACAGCGGTCCGCACCAGCATGTCTCTCACGTTGTAAGAGGGAGGGTAACTCTGTAATGAAAACCCAGAGAAAGCTTTGTCTTTGTTGTTTTAATTGACAAAAATACAATCCCCAGTAAACACTGATTAGTAAATCTGATCTGAGGATCAAAGACTAAAGTTTGAAAATCACTCTGTTTACTTTTCAAGTTGCTATTACCAGAACAAAAAGAAGACTAACCCACAAGAAAAGAATACCAGCCGTTACAACTGCTAGCTATCGAGTTGCTACCCTGTGCTGGGCAAGGTAACAAGTTTCATCCCCTGGGAGGAAGGCGTCATTCTCCCAGGTAGTTGATGCCAAGCTGTAGGACCAAACCAAGTGGTTGGGAAGGGGCTCTGGAGTCATATCCACACCTCCCTTCCCTCTGGGGTGTGACACAAGTCATAGAAATTCCCTAAGCCTCTGTTTCTTCCTCTTTAATCATCATCACATCTATGTCACAGGGATATTCTGAGAATTAAGTAAGAAAAACATGAGCAGAGTGCCTCCCATTTTAGAGCCCTCAGCACCCAAAAAGTGGTCAATTCATTTGTATATGGAAGAAAATGTTTAGGCAATGCAATTTGGCCAAGGCCCCCCAGCCATCAGGGAACAGCCCTATAGGTTTGTCTGACTCTTAAGGTCTGTGTGCCTGATCACTATCCATGACCCATGACAGAGATGACTATTTATACAGAGCCAGGGAAAGGACAAGGTCCAAAGCACGAACCTGGATGCTTAGGTTGTTCTAGAATTGACTGGGGGAAAACAAAGGCTACCTAGTCAACCCTCCCGACCATTACCCCCCACCCCCGCCCCCGCCGGCACCTGAACCAGCCAGAATCCTCATAACTCGGGCTGGCTTCCTTGATGAGTTTTCAGGGCCCGTTTTAATTCTAAAGACTCTGAAGACTTTACCTGGTTGTAATGAAAATAATTCTTGGCACTACTTCCCCAGTCGAAGGCTTGAAACTTCTGCAATTTAATAAGCTATAGACAGAAGATAATTGGGGGAGAAACAAAGTTATCTAACGCAGAAACCTGATATGGCAGCACAGGGTGCAAGAGTCAGCCACCCCCTCAGATACCAACTTTACACCGATAACCAGATTCACTCTCAATTTACAAACTGCAATTTAAAATAAAATGGCATAATTGTGCTCTCCTTTCCTAAATGACTCCATTTCTCACTGTATGATTGGAAAGTAGCTATGACACGACACAATAAAGCAGCTACACATATGTGCTATAAATGACCCTGGATCAGCACTGCATCCGTTGGATAAACTTTACGCTGATGTTTTTTTATTGGAATTTGAATCTTAAACTTTTCCAAAGAGTTCACTATCTCACTTGGGAAAGAAATACATATTACATATAACATATGGATTAATATATTAATGTGTATTTAAATGGATAAATATATTTATATTAGAATGTAAATACATTAATTGTATATGTAATTATATTACACATAATCTCCATCATATTTCCTATATATCCATCCATTTGACTAGTTATATTATTTAATATTTTACTAATTTCATTTATTTAACACTTTTTCTTGAGTACCAGTACCAGTAAAATCACCAAACTGTACTGCACACAGAACAATTCTAATCAGCTGAGGATACTAGAGCCATGAAATGATATTGTATATGAAATTTAAATGTATGCTTATTTAGGATAGCATGATATAAAAATATGAACAAAAAGTCACTTATTCATAAATTTTTAAATAATGCAAATCCATACCTCCTCTATATCCCCCAATTAAAAATATGTCAAGAATTAAATCCAAAACTGGCAAACCAAATGAATTGGAAACTGTTTAATAAGCTTTGGCCAGAGGGTGGCGCCTGGTAAACAGGAAAAACCTACTCATTCTTTGTCAGAACTGCCTTTGGCTTCAGTTCTTATCAATTGCATAAAATTCTACTGTTTTATACAATAAACAACAGTGTGAGATGAGGTACTACAGGGGGAATGTTTAGCATCTGCATTTGCCATTGAAAATGACAGATATTAATACCTGCAGCACATTTAACAAGCAGAGTAAGACATGAATTTACAGCACCTGTTAGTGCATCTCTTCCCTAGCTCCAATTGCCAGTGAAAATAAATCAGTGCAAGTTGTTCTGCCCCCACAGACAGACATCAGCTTGTCACTTTCTCACATATGTCTTTGGCTTTTATATAAAGCACCCAGAGTGAGTGCAGAAACAAAGGAAAGACGTGCCGAGAGTTCCGGCTAAACTTCAGATTTGACTTTTGTGCTCAGCGTCATAGGACTTCAAACTACGCCCTTCAAAGGGCATCTCAGAAGGAGGGAAATGTGAAGACTATTTATAGTAACAAAAACCTGCGAATAAGCTAACATCCAATGACAGATACTTGGTTAAATACATTATATTACATCAATATACACATGGTATGCCACTGTCGTAAATATAAATATAATACAGTAGAAAGAAAAACTGTTTATAAATAATACTAAGTGGAGAAAAGTCAGTAATAAAATTGAACATGCACTATGGCTCTACTTAAGTGGTAGTCTTATGTGGATAAAGGTCAGGTGAAAATGCTTATAATACTAGGACAGACAGTTTTTAAAGTCTCTCCTAATAGTATAAGCATTTCCACCTGACCTTTATCCACATATGAATATTTTAAGTTAATTTTAAACTATTCTAAAAATTATTTTAACATCTTGTTGGTAATGAAAATGTAAACAGGTTCAACCTTTCTAAAGGACCATACATATCTGGAAGTCTTAAAGAGATGCCTACCCTCTGATCACTAAGTCTACTAAGACTGTATCCTAAGGAAGTCACCTGCCTAATGTATAAGGACAGATCTCTAATTCAAGAATATTTATCCCAGAATGTTTTATTGCCAAGAAAACCTATCATAGTAGTAATAATAAATTCGAACAATAAAAAGTTGTCCTCAGTTACAAATATTTTTACGTGTAGTTATTGACCTGGACAAGCATTTCTGATTATGGCAGAGGCTGCTATTTGCCCCCCAGTACCCATTCTTGCCTTTTTCCTTTCAGTAATAAAATTTCTAAAGTTTTTGCTAAGCACATGGCTGCCAGGGTAGGAACCATATCCCTCATGTGCCTTCTTCCTGGGAGGTGGAACTGCCATGAACGTGAGCCAGTTTCAACCAGGCAGAAGAGGCCAGCGCCCCAGAGATGGCCAAGCTATTGTGCAGAGGGGACTGGGTCACTGCATGACGTGCGGGAGCAGTCACAACTCCTCCACAACTGTGTGCCACTGATGTCTGGACTGGATTCTGAGGAAGGAAACTATTTATTTAGATGCTGTATTTTAGGGTCTTTGATAACAGCAACTTAGCCTGCACCTCAGAAATACAATGCTGTTTAATTAAAAAATAAAATTATTAAAAAGTGCATGTAGCATAATCCTCCTTCTGTAATGGAAACAATTATACCAAAAAATTATAAGATTACAGTGTAAGAGTTCAGGACATGCCACCCCCAAATATGCCGCTTTGGCATAATGATTATTTTGAGGTAAAGGCACTTGAAAAACAGAAGATGTGAAGAGGACGCTGACCTTCCTTTTTCTTTCTAAAAGGAGAACACAAAACTCCCATGTGAAAGAAGCCCTCCCTATACCAGGAGGAAGAAGCATGCTCATCACCAGAGTCTAAAAGAGGAGGCTGGCAGAAATCGATACAGAAAGACCTTGTGAAAATAACTCAGGTCTTGTAAGTCTCCCCATATATTTTAGTTACTTTTCTAAAACTGCTACTCTTTGTTCAACCTTGTATATAAGCACTTAGGCCTAGTTACTTCTTTGGGTCTTCATTTTTCTGAGGGCTCCCATGTACACGTAAATAAAATCCATATGCTTTTCTCCAGGTAATTTGTCCTATGGCAGTCCCAGTCAGAAACCCGAAGAGAGTAAAGGAAAAATTTTACCTCCCCTATAATACGCAAATACTAATCGTAGTTATCCCTGGTGGTAGACATAAAGGTAATGTATTTTCTTCTTGTACTCACATATTTTTAAAATTTCATAATGAACATATGTATAAGAAAAATTTTATTAAATGTCTCTTACAGTGTTTTGAAGAGCCTAGCTAATGTATATTTTGCTTTTTTTTTTTTTTAAGCAGCAGGTTTCAAACAATAGAGAACATCAGATCTTACAAGGTGCTTATTAAAATGCAGATCCCAGAGCCATACCCTCAGGAATTCCGATTCTCAACAAGTCTTGGGTAGACCCAAGAAACTGTATTTTTTTATAGCGCCCTAAGTAATTCTGAACAGCACTGTAAAGATATGTTAGGACCGGCCTTCCTCAAACAGGAGCAAGTAGCTGGGCTCTGGGCATAGCTGGCAAGGGGGCTAGAGCTTCCGGAGGGTCTCTGAAATGTGTGAGGCTTATAAAGAGAAGATTTGTAAGCTAAATTAAAAAAAACCAGTGAAGAACTAGGTTTTAGAACTTCGAGAACTGAATGCTAATTACTTATACAAAAGATCCATTTCAAAATTTACTATGAATAGAATGGCCTTTAAGGGCACCCCCAAACTCCTGCCACGGAAACCTCCCAACTTCACATCTGAATTGTAGCCCTCAAGCCTGCCAGGATCCAGGCCCTGCACACCCTCAGCAGAAGCCTCTCGCAGCAGGGACCAGGGCTGCTGCCCCAGCACGTCCTGGGTAGGCAGAGTGTGGCAGTCCCTGGCTGGCAGCCCTTGGCCAACTGCCCAGAGGAGGAAGAGTCAAGAAGATCCTATGAAACAGCTGCCAAAGCAACCATTTTCTTAACAAAGGGATGACACAGGGAGCAGAAGAACAAAGGGCAGGGCTGACTTCTGCAGGGAATCTGGGCTTCAAAAACGTTCGTGGCACACATTGCAATGCAGTGAGGACCTAAAACCACGTGGTCACCACTGGGCCTGAGAGCGGTGCTCTGATCCACAGCCAGCAGCCCCTGACCCCAGTCAGCTGCTTGACAAAAGGGCTGGAATGGGCTTCCCTGGTGGCGCAGTGGTTGAGAGTCCGCCTGCCGATGCAGGGGATGCGGGTTCATGCCCCGGTCTGGGAAGATCCCACATGCCACGGAGCGGCTGGGCCCGTGAGCCATGACCGCTGAACCTGCACGCCCGGAGCCTGTGCTCCGCAACGGGAGAGGCCACAACAGTGAGAGGCCCGCGTACCACAAATAAAAAGGGCTGGAACAAGAGCAGGAGCCTGGATTGCAGCCAATCCAAGAGCTCTAGGCAAACCCAATGCCAGTGGGGGCCTGCAGCACAAAAGGCTGGAGGACTACCGTGCTGTGACATGCAACAGGGTAGTCTGACAGCTTTGGCCACCACATTCCCAAGGGTACCTGAAAGGCTAGGGCTGGCGGTCATGTGTGCTCTGCTGAGGCATGGGGATGCCAGCGTGGGCCGCTCAGCATCTGCCTTTAGCTCAGCTCAGTCGTCCTCCACACAAGGGAGCACTGACTCTTGAGGTGACAGAAACTGGACCTTAGTGAAAAATGTCCATTAGGTAAGAGGGTAAAAATGCTCAGAAAGATAAGGCTCTTCTGATGGCAGGGTATACAGAGAAAACAAGCGGCTCTAGATGGAGAAGTGCCTGAGGAGAAAAGTAGGGGACTGAGTGGACGCTTGTGGGTGAACATCTGAGGACTTCTGAAGGTTTCGGGACATTCCTTCAGAGGTAAGGGTGTGCTCTTCAGCACGTCATGAGCTACCTGCCTTCCAGATGCCCCTCTTCTAGGCCAAACTCTGGTACTGAGTCCCTGACGCTTAACACTAGGCCTTACAGTCACTACGGGGCTAAAAGCCTCAGGCTGGGTCCTGCCTGGTTCCATAGGGATAAGCCCAAGGAGAGGTAACCGATAGCACTCGCAACTGACGGCGTTCCTGGGACAACTGAGGAAGGATACCAAAGAACCAGTGATGTCCCGGATCAGAGGTTCCCAAATCCAGTTGGGCAGAAGAATCTAATGGGCAGAATTTTTAAAAAATATAAATTCTCACCACTCAACACCAGAAAGAAATGAAGTACTGATGCACATGACAACTTGGTTGAATCTCAAAATAATGACGCTGAGAGAAGCCAGACAAAAACAAATATATACTGTATGATTATATTTAGACAAAACTCTGGAAAATTCAAAGTAACCTATAGTGACAGAAAGCAGATGGGTCACTGCAGATGGGAGAGGGTGGAGGGGGTACTAAAGGGGGCTTCTGGGGGTGACACATACGTTCACTGGTTTGATTGTGGTGATGGCTTTGCAGGTGTAGATCTATGGTGAAACATACTACATTGTACACTTTAAATATTGTGTGTCACTTATACCTCGACAAAGATGTTTTAAAAAAATAAAGGTATACACACTGCAGTCCGAATGAATTAGAATCTCTAGGGATGGGACACAGGAGTCTTTGTGTTTAAAAGCCTGGATTGTAGCTAATCCAACAGCTCTACCACAAACCCAATATCTCTTACTTTTTTAAAATAATATTTTATTAAAAAGTGTACTTTTAAAGGCAACTCACATGATTCTTATGCAGGCAGTGACTGCCAGTTGTTTGAAGACTGCTATCCAAGGCACTCATTGCATCCTGGTTTGACGCTTAAATGGTGAGTTATTTCATATTTAAAAAGAATTTTGGGGGAAAAATTATACAAAAACATGTCCTGAGGTAGAAAAAGTCCCTGCCATATTGTCAGGTGAAAAAAAAACAGCTTATAAAAGAGTAAGAAGAAAAGTAATCAATCTATTTCTACAATTATGATTTCTATCTATATCTTTAACCACTTCTTTCTGAAATGATATGCAGCAAGAGATATGGAGTAGAATGCAGAGACATTTTATATCCCTGGTACACATTCTCTATCTCTGTGTGGGATTACAGAACAATTTTATTTTTCACCTTATGAGAATTTTTAATATTATACCCGTATGTAATTTATAAATTTTCTAGAATGAACGTGCATACTTTTGTGATGTGTGATCATACAATCAAAACTCTATTTTCAAATTTAGTGTCTCTTACTTATATCCTTGACTGATTTAGCTCTGTTTCTCCACTGATGTTTCAGGCATACAGTGTTCATAGCAGCTTCTATCTCCAAAGTTGCTCTAAAAACTTGCTTTCTGGAGCAACACAAAAATAAAATAAATCTGGGACTCAATGAAAAACTGACAGAGGGGAGGGGGAAGAAAAGAACAAACAAGTCAACCCCAATAGCTGTTTGGTGAACTCACACCGTAGTACAGTCTGCCCCAGGGAGGATAACACAAGCGACATAAACATAGTGACAGGAACCCAGGACTCAGGAAGGAAAGCAGCTCAGATGTGTAAGCAGACTATCTTTCTATTTGCTTCATGGAATGCACAGAACTTTCTCAGGCCGATGTTCCACAAACCCTCCCCCCCCTGGGTGATGCGAGGCCACCGTTTCCCCTCTCTGAGCCCACCTCCTCCTCAGGGGACGAGAGGGCCAGAGGCTTGCGGTCCCCCCCCCCCCCCCCCCCCCGCACTGTACTCCTGGAATGCGTACCTGGCTCCAGTGTAACATATTTTGCACAGAAGTTCCGGCAGGAGAGTGTGTGGCATACACAGCCACTCTAGACTGCAAAATAAACACGTGGAAATAAAGAATGAAAACAGCCTGAAGGAGGCATTGATAATAAACACAGTTTGCACCTTGAAGCATTAAAAACTACAGAGCCACAATCTCAAATACATGAGATTAAGAGCAGGAAAAAAAATTCTTTGACTACAAATACGTCCTGTAAAAATATGAATAATCACACATACACACACAGAATACCCATGAAGGATATACAGCAACATGGTAACCATGGGGCTGTATTGGTTGAGATTATTGCTCATTTCTATTTTCTTCTTCATATTTTTCTGAATTTCCAAAATTTTATATAACAATCATACCTTGCTTTTATTCATCAGAAACAAGAAAAATTAACATCCCTTAAAAATTCCCTAGAGCCTTCATTCCAGAATTTTAAGACCTGTTTTCAAAATACAACATGACAAACTACGAATGTATTTAGAAACACCAGCACATTCCTAGCCAAGGGTTTACATTTTATAAAATAAATAAATAAATGTATATATACATGGGTGGGTATGTGCCTGTGTGTGTGTGTGTGTGTGTGTGTGTGTGTAAATGGCCATTCCAAATTTAAACGCATTTATAGTAATTATTTTCAAGAAAAAGATCACTAGAATAAATATAAATATTGCAATTTAAATGATGACCGATCTCCTCATTCCATAGTTTCCACATAGGTACAATGTAGGAAGCTGACAAGGCTGGCCTGAGGTTAGCCACAAATGGTGTTCCAGGTACCTGCCAAGGTTGATTCTTATACCCGTTAAATGAAAGAGCCTTTAGAGCTCTAATGAGGTCATTCCTGCCTCTCCCATACCCTCCAACACAAAGAAGCACATTCAAAGATAAAATAAAATCACTGACAGTTTAAAGCAAGTGCTATTGTAAACATACATACCATATTTAAATTTCTCTCGTTAAATCCACACATAACAAAAAAGACATTTCCGCAAAGCTCCTTCAGAATGACATGAGTACAAACGTGTGTACTCAGCCACTTCACAAACGTACTCTGGGGAAGAAATTCTTTAACCCCAAATAAGTCCTGCAAAATAAAAAGAATATCTCAGCATTTCCTTCATGCCTCCATGTCCCACCTCACAAGCAGACACATGCCAACCGTGTCCACGGATGGCCTCAGAAGAGAAATGGCAACCAGTGGGCATTCAAACTAGGACACCTGTGCGATACATTTACTAAGGCAATAGCAGATGTTACAGACGTGTATTTAAAGTCTCAAATGAGAAAAAGAAGGCAAAAAATCAAATAGGTCCACAGAAGACTTTTACAGTGGGAGGGGGCCTGAATGATCCCTGATCCCAGGGCCGTCCCCAAAGTTTCATCTGACTTTGATGGATTGCTAGTGACTTCTGAAAAAGAGTTGAAACTGTGGTTGGTCAGCAGTGGGTCTGCTTAGGACACATACATCTGATCCGATGCTATTGGCCAGTGGGCCAAATCCTGCCCACTGCCTTTTGGGGTTTTTTAATACTTAATACAAAATTTACCATTTTAACCATTTTTAAGTGTTCAGATCAGCAGCATTAGTACATTCACATTGTTGTGCAACCATCACCACTAGCCATCCATCTCCAGAACTCTTTCAACATCTCAGACTGAAACTCTGTACCCATTTAAACAATAACTCCCCATGCCTCCTCTGCCAGCACTGCCTGTTTTTATAAAGTTTATTGGAACACGGCCATGCTTTTCTCTATACACATTGTCTCTGGCTGTTTTCACAAGACAAAGGCAGAGGACTTCCCTGGTGGCACAGTGGTTAAGAATCCACCTGCCAATTCAGGGGACATGGGTTCGAGCCCTGGTCCGGGAAGATCCCACATGCCACGAAGCAACTAAGCCCGTGCACCACAACTACTGAAGCCCGAGTGCTCTAGGGCCCACAAGCCACAACTACTGAGCACATGTGCCACAACTACTGAAGCCACGTGCCTACAGCCCGTGCTCCACAACAAGAGAAGCCACCGCGATGTGAAGCCTGGGCACCGCCACGAAGAGTAGTCCCCGCTCACCGCAATTAGAGAAAGCCCACGCACAGCAACGGAGACCCAATGCAGCCAAAAAAAAAAAAGACAAAGGCAGAGTTCAGTAGTTGAAACAGAAACCATATGACCCACAAAGCCAAAAATCTTTATTATCTGGACCTTTAACAGAAAACATCTGCTGACTCCTGGTGTACATCAGACCTGACCAATGGCCCCTGGACCTGTGCTCAAGTATTTCTGGGGCAATCACTACGCCCTCAAGGCAGATCGTCGTGTACATGTGTAATAGGAAATAGGAAAAAGATCTTTATAGTGAACCCAAATTTGTCTCCTTATAATTTACACTTTCACTGATGCCTACCCTCTGGAGGGACAAGCAGAGTGAAAATACAAAGGCAGTTTTATGGGTTGAATTGTGTCCCTCCCAAAAAAGATATGTTGAAGTCCTAATTCCCTGTATCTCAGCATGTGACATTATTTGGAAATAGGGTCTTTATCAAGGTACTCAAGTTACATAGTTGGATACTGTCTACAGTGAAACAAAACAATACATTTCTCTCTGGACCTATATAGGTATATAAATTCACACACAAGGTCTATAGGAAAAGACCCCAGGCTGAGCACGGTGCTTAATTCTGAGGAAGGCGCTAGGAGAAGCCTTGGTATTTGAAGGGTACTTTATTTGTAATCTCCGAATTGTTTATAATGAAAATCGAAGGTTCTGTTATCCAAGGTATTTAAAATAAATGTGGTTAGAGGGGCCCACATCTTACCTGCCTGCCTGATCACTGGTACAGAGAATCCCATCTTAGGTGAGAGTCAGATTCTCAGGTCAGAGTATAGTCTATATGTCCTGTGAACATATTTCTTAAACGGCCAAGAGATATGTATAAGTTAAGTATATATTTCTGTATAGGATTTCATATGTGTGTGTACACACCTATCATACGTAAAACATAATGCGTGCGTAACGGACCATCTGGCCTCAGCTGGCTCTCAACTCCTCATAAAAACTGCCTCCTGGGCTTCCCTGGTGGCGCAGTGGTTGAGAGTCTGCCTGCCGATGCAGGGGACAAGGGTTCGTGCCCCGGTCCGGGAAGATCTCACATGCCATGGAGCGGCTGGGCCCGTGAGCCATGGCCGCTGAGCCTGCGCGTCTGGAGCCTGTGCTCTGCAACGGGACAGGCCACAACAGTAAGAAGCCCGCGTACCGCAAAAAAACAAAACCAAAACCAAAAAAAACCTGCTTCCTCCTTGCGCAAAGCCTGGAGGGTTCACACATTGAGCTCCGATGAAGTTACTGGCCTCTGCTTAGGGGCCATGTAATAAAATATAATAGATCACCCTCAGTGTGGTCAGGGTCGGGCATGTGGAATAGCACATCGCCTGTCTCCCATCTCCTGCCTACTCCTAGGCACGGACCCACCCTATGGAATAAAGGGCAACTTCAGGGAGGTTTAAGCTGCCTTCTCCCGGCTTTCCTCGTGCTCTCTTTGTAAGATGGGTGGGGAGTTGCACTGACGTGTTAACCACGAGAACAGGGAGCTCCAGTGTGGAGTTAAGGACACCTTCCCTGGTTCCCCCGGATCTGGAAGTAGGGGTGAAGGGGGAAAGAAAAACCACGGAGAGAGGAAAACCCACTGTTCCACGGATAGCAAAACACAGGGGAGGAAGACACACCTTCCTCTAAAGGCCAACTCTTCAGAACCGAAAAGAAAATCTGTGAGGGAAGGGAGTGGAGGTGGGGGGAATCCAAGTACCTTAATGAGAAGATCTGGAAATCGTCCTAATTTAACTAGAGGGCTAGTAGCGAACTGGGCTGAGGCCACGGGAGCCAGGGCAAAAAACATTTTAATCTTTTTGGCCAGCTCCGGGATCCGTGAAAATGCTATGAAACCTGTGGGAACAAAAGGAAAATAACAGAATTCCATCTTCTGGGACTTTTCTCTGAAAAGGCAAGGGCAGGCATGCGTGTCGCCTTCTAGTGGCAATCTGAGAACTGTGCAAGCAATGCCAGGAGGCAAAACTCGTGAAACGAGGGCCTCTGAACTCCTATGTGCACAAACACTGAATTTGATTAAACCAGTAAATCAAGTTTTGCTTAGTGCTTGTTTCGATTTTCAGCCTACATATGCACTGGAAGAAATCCGGGTTGCTAGAACCAGAAGATGTTTCCCGTTCCTTTAATGATGTAAGCCAGGGAATCGAAGACTATTCTTAACAGCTCCACCCCACTGTGTCCATCCCTACTGCCTCCGCTCCATTACCAAGAATGATGTACGAAGGTGCTCAGAGCAGTCGCCAAGGACTCAAAAGGAACTTACACATTTAGAATCCGCTAGCTTTAAAATATCTTTTAGCTTCCTCTCAGGTCACTTCTTGCCTTAAACTTGGCCCCAGAATGTCAATTTTGAAAGCAGTGGGGCAAAGGACACCAATGGACAAGTCATGGAAGAACAAATATAGATGAAAAAAATGCTTAAGTCCATTAATAAGAAGGGCAATTACGTGCATGTTACTTGTTGCTTGAAGCCTCTCAAGCTGACAAAGAGGAATGGTAGTGAGGGCAAGGCAACTTAACCACGTATAAGGAGACACTTCAAAGCATTCGTACCTTTCATATCATAGTTTTCTTCTAGGAATGTATTCTAAGAAGATTGTGTGATAGGAACACAAAGATATTAGTCATTGTCAACACTAACGGGGGGATTAAATAAATTATGGGACAGGTCTCCAGTCCCTAATCAGAGGAACTCTTGTTTGCTCGTATTATGAGCATTTTTTTTTTGGCGGGGGGCGGCAGGGGGGTAGGCCACGACGCGTGGCTTGAAGGATCTCAGTTGCCCGACCAGGGATTGAACCCCGGACGAGGCAGTGAAGCTCAAAGTCCTAACCACTAGGCCACCAGAGAACTCCTGGCAATTTTTATTTTTTTAAAACTTTGCTAAATTTTCTGTTTCTGTTTACAATGAACACATAATACTTTTTTATCATCAGCATAAATTAAAAATATATATGACTTTTAAAAATTATTTGTAAATAAAGTGTACTATGGCATCCTTGTAGCTAGCTTTATTCCACTTCACTTTAAAAAATCAGTGTATTTCCTTGTTTTCCTTATAAAAGTCTCTGTACTTATACAACTTCCTGTTTTCTACTCTCTCACATCCCCATATCACTTAACTAGGAGAATATGTAATAGGCTGTGGTTTACATTGATTCCTTCAATCAAGGGAACCATACACCATGTTCATCTATTTATGTTTGTCTGAATTTCCAGAGAAGACCCAATATTACCAAAATCCTTTGTCCTATTCATTATTTCTGCCTGGCATTAAAAAACAAACACAAAACTCTATCTGAACATTATTTTTTTATATTTCACTTTTAAGAATGAACACAAACTTAATAAAACATATCAACCTCCCATCTTTATTTTATACATACCTATCGTGGTGCCTTGAGAATGACCCACATAATACACTTGTTCTTGGCCAGTTTTATTCAGAATGAAGTTAATTGAAGCTGGTAGGTCATAATTTGCCATCTCATCGTAACTGTAATCCAAAAAAGGAAATTTTTCATTGAGACATTGCATGCAAATACAACAGCATACAAGTGTGCTGCTTGATGAGTTATTGCAAACTGAACACAGCTGGGTAAACCAGCCCTGAGCACAGGGAACTGAACATTACCAGCACTGCAGAAGCCTCCCTGGGCTCCTTGCTAACCATGCCTCCCCAAAATAATCACTATCCTCCTTTCTTAAACCATAAATTAGTTGGATCCATTTGGGAACTTTTCTATGAATGGGATCAAACAGCGTGTATCGTTCTGCATCTGACTTCATCTTTGCCGTCACATATAGTTGTCAGCTGGTCATTGTGTAAATACATGACACTTTTTCTGTTCACTCACTGCTGATGGGCATTTGGTAGTTTCCAATTTCTCACTATTACAAATAGTGTCACAACAAGTATATTCTTGAAGATGCCTTTGGTAAAAGCTCTCATTCCTGTGTTTCACGGCCTCGGGTAGGTTCTGGTTTTACAAATGGGGAAGCAAGCCTGAAGGAATCATGGTGCTGACTTTCTCTAATGCCTGGTACAAAGACCCCCTGTCATAATCAATTCAAAGATACCTGAAGGCCCAGAACTCATCTTGGTCTATGGAGAGGGTCTTGTGTTTCCGAGACCAGGTGTTTCCCCTGCTGTTCCCCATCCACACATCAAAACCCGCGTCTGCCAGAATGAAGCCCAGGCTGGTGTTGGGCAGGTTTATGACCCTGAACCTGTACGCATGTGCACTGACTGTAACCACCACTTGCGCTGTGCCAGGCTCTGTGCCAGCCTCTTTCCTTGTATCCTCTCCTTTAAGCCCCCAGTGACCTTATGAGAAAGGTATTTATTATCCCCATTTTACAAAAAGGCAACACAGGGCTTACGCCACATGCCTAATATCATGCAGTGATCAACTGGTATAGCCAGAAGTAAGAGAGAGAAGAGGAGAATTTCTAGAAATAAGAAGAGTGAATACTTGCAGGACGTGTTTATGGAGGAAGGGAGAAGGGGATGGTACACAATTTACACAGCGACACCCACACCACCAGCAATGTCAAAATTACTAAAAATCCCTTTTTGAATGTAATCCATAAATGTAATCATTTATTTATAATTTACCTTACTGCTATTTATTAAATTCCTAACAAGGTATAAAACCTTTCATAGGGCTTCCCTGGTGGCGCAGTGGTTGAGGGTCCGCCTGGCGATGCAGGGGACGCAGGTTCGTGCCTCGGTCCAGGAGGATCCCGCATGCCGCAGAGCGGCTGGGCCCGTGAGCCATGGCCGCTGGGCCTGCGCATCCGGAGCCTGTGCTCCGCAACGGGAGGGGCCACAGCGGCGAGAGGCCCGCGTACCGCAAAAAAACCCAAAAAAACAAAAAAACAAAAAAAAAACCTTTCATAAACCATTAGTTTCCCATCATATGATCTTGAGTTTCCCATCTATTTGCCTCCCCAGTGTCTATGTTGAGGGTACCAAGGAAAAAGACCCCCCGTCATAATCAACTCAAAGATACCTGAAGGCCCAGAACTCATCTTGGTCTATTGAGAGGGTCTTGTGTTTCCGAGACCAGGTGTTTCCCCTGCTGTTCCCCATCCACACATCAAAACCCGCGTCTGCCAGAATGAAGCCCAGGCTGGTGTTGGGCAGGTTTATGACCCAGTTACTGGAATCTGCCAGCAAGCCATGCTGCAGGAACACAACTGGTTTGGGACCTGGAAAGCAATCATGTTTAGGAGTTAGCAGCACTAAGCTTCAAAACAAACATGATATCTTGCTAATCAGAAAAGTCACAAAAGATCACAAAGCAAATAATGAAACAGAAACAAAAGACTGAGGTAGCATTATCATTCCGTGGTAACTGTACTATATATACTTGTGTGAAGGGCGCTTGGGAGTTGTATGTTTTCCTTGGGCACATTAAGACACTTCTCACCCATCCAAGGTGCTCTGGGGCTGGGCCGTGAGGAAGAAGACTGGACCTTAAAAGACCAGGAAGTCAGGCTAGCCAAGAAAAGACCTTGGCAACATACGGGGAGCAGTGGGGCAGGACTGCCTTGTTCCAAGAGGCGCTGCTGCTGGTCACCAGTCAGAGAGAAGGAGCGTGGGCACTGCGGTGGCCCCTGCTGGGGAAAGGAGTTAGAGCGAGGCAGAAGGAGAGCACAATGGGGGCCAGATTCCTTGTGCTGGTTCCAACCTGTGCCTCTTCAGACACTTAGTGAAACCTGAGGCTGTGCAGCCAACTTCACAGGGCAGAATCCTGAGAAAGGAGGATGGGTTTCATTGGGGGTGGGAGAACCGAGGAGGGGACAGCAGGATAGAGAGTGGGGCAGCCAGGCCAGGACTGAGCTGGAAGGGGGGTCAGGTGCCAGTTTTCAGGGACCAGGAGTCAGCTGCCTACCTTTTCTTTTTCTTTAACATCTTTATGGGAGTATAATCGCTTTACAATGTCGTGTTACTTTCTGCTGTATCACAAAGTTAGTTTCAGCTATACATATACATATACATATATCCCCACATCTCTTCCCTCTTGCGTCTCCCTCCCACCCTCCCCATCCCACCCTTCTAGGTGGTCACAAAGCATGGAGCTGATGTCCCTGTGCTAGGTGGCTGCTTCCCACTAGCTTTCTGTTTTACATTTGGGAGTGTATATATGTCCGTGCCACTCTCTCACTTCGTCTCAGCTTACCCTTCCCCCTCCCCATGTCCTCAAGTCCATTCTCTACCTCTGCGTCTTTTTTTTGTTTGTTTGTTTGGGTTTTTTTGCGGTATACAGGCCTCTCACTGTTGTGGCCTCTCCCGCTGCGGAGCACAGGCTCCGGACGTGCAGGTCCAGCAGCCATGGCTCACAGGCCCAGCCACTCCGTGGCATATGGGATCTTCCCAGACTGGGGCATGAACCCGTGTCCCCTGCATTGGCAGGCGGACTCTCAACCACTGCGCCACCAGGGAAGCCCCGTCTGCGTCTTTATTCCTGTCCTGCCCCTAGGTTCTTCAGAACCATTTTTTTTTTTAGATGCCATACTTATGTGTTAGCACATGTTATTTGTTTTTCTCTGCCTACCTTTTCTTGATGGGGAATATTTCAAATTCCGCTGAAATCTCTCTGCACTTCCCTCCCTAACCCCACAGAAGGCTTCAAGGGAGAAATTTGGGAGTTGGCAAGTTGAAGATATACCAGGAAACTCTTTAAGCATCACCAATAAATAACTTCTGGATTCCCACAGGCAACGAGGAGCCACTGACACTTTCCCAGGAGGTGAGCGTGAAGCCCAGGAAAGTGCAGGCGGCCAACTCAGGCATGTGCCCACCATGCATGTGTGCCCACCATGCATGTGTGCCCACCATGCACGTGTGCCAATTATGGTGGCTGAGGGGCTTCCAACAATACCTGCAAATACCCCCACTGCAGCCTGTACCTACCATTCACCCCTGCTCGAGGCTTAAAACATTCCCAGACCCCTCGCCCTACACTCCATAGAAGGGTTTCCCACAGTTCCTATATTTGCCCTGTACACTGAATTTCCATGGACTTGGCTTTGCCTAAAACAACCACTACTGCAATCCAGGTTATAAAGAGTCTCTGTTTAATAGAAAAAGAAACAAAGAAAATATGTTTAATTACTTTGGAATTTAAATAAACTGTTTACATTAAAGGGTAATCTGTGGACATCCATTAACTAACTCTATGCCACAATCAGCTGGGTACCTACAAAATGAAAGTAACTGCACAAGGACAAAGAGAACACAGCTACACACACGCGCGCGCGTGCGCGCGTGCACAACCAGAGCATGCAGACCCCAGGGTGACAGCAAAGCCATCCAGTGTGTGTCAGGGGAGGGGGTGGTGGAGAAAACTCAGTGATTTGTTAAGACACCTGTCACGGGGGAAGGGAGCGGATCGAAGTCACTTTTTTTTCTAATTCTCTTTTTGTTTGTTGGGATTCCCCCATCCCTCACTTCAAGCTGAATATGAAAGCTCAATGAACAGATATAAAAGATGGCACCAGATAGGAAGAAAATAGTGAATCTGTTCTTGAAAAGCCAGGTGTTTTCAAATCCGGAGGATCCGGGCCAAGAACTGCAAAGCATACGGCAGAACCCATGGCTTTCTCGTGGGAAATGCCAGCAGGGGAGGAAAGGGGCTGGCACGGAAAGGCACATGGCTGAGAAATGGCACCTCAGCAACCTCAGGCCTCTCAGCTGTGTCCTACTCATTCATTTGAAGACTTTTTACTGAGAATTCTACTGTATAATAAGCAGTGCACTAGAAGTTAAAAGAAATCGAGTGATTCAAAACACACGTTACGTTTTGTATAAACCTGTCCTGGTACCTACTATGTGTTAGTCACTGTGTTAGATTCAGGGACACGAAAGTGGGTAAGCCATGCTCCCTCCCCCACGGAGCTCCATTCTAGTGAAGGAGACAGACACACGATTACCTTCTAGCCCAGTGTGGAAAAGGCCAGACCACAACGCAGGAAAGCCCAGAGGAAAGAGAAAAGTACTCAGCCAGGGGAGGAATATTCGAGCCGGTTCTTAAGTAAGAGACAGACTGTCCCATAAAGGGTTCGGGTGAAGAAACGGCAGCCTGGATTGGCAGAGAACTGGCACTGCATCCCAGGCCTCAGCCAGATGGGACCCCAGAGTGTACTGTAAAATGTAAACGCTCCCTACGGGAGTCTGATGCACAGGCAACTTGGGGAACCGCTGGTAGGGCATGGTGCCTTGTCTGACCTGGGCATAGAGGGGATATGAAGGACTTCCTTCAGGGGTGCACATCCTTGCAGGTGTGGCCAGCTCCCTTTCCTCCCAGAACAAAAGGAGCCTCTAAGGAGGAAGCTGCAGAGGATACAACCCACTGGGCTTCCCATGCCTGTGATTCCATTAGACATGATGGGCCACCAACAAAGAGAAAATATTAACAAATCCTGTCCTGGGATGGAAAATGGGTGCTAAACTGCTTGTCCCTTCCCTCTGGCATTTAGTGAATGCAAAAGGGCAGCAGAATAGACAAGGGCACTGTGACGGGCCTACCCACATGTCTGCCAGCTTCTCCCACCTGCTCCTAAGAGTGGGGGGAGTGGGGAGAAAGGAAGGCATTATGTCATCTTTCCCATCCCGCCACCAATCAAGGATTTAAGGATTTGCTGGAAAAAGAAGTTTCTCTCTAGGAGGGTTAAACCTACTGCCATTCACATCTTCCAGTGAATTACTTTAATCAGATTTCCTTTCATCCTGCTGAGAGAAGCCGATTGAATTAACAGCTAGCTATATTATTATGCACCCCTGTGCTCTAAGGCGCTGTGCTGAAAATCCTATGTAGTACTATCTCCATTTAACAGAACAAGAAATTGTGGCTAAGAGAAGTCAAGTAATTTGCCCGAGATTGGATAAGAGCTAAAAAGTGGGGGAGCTGGGATTCGAATCCACATAAGTCTAATGCCAGGGTCCATGCTCTTAGCGGTTTTGCTACGGGAAAGGCTAACAACAGAGAGTCATTCCACAACATACAGAGGCCCTCAGGGAATGACAAGCCAAAGAGAGAAAGCTATTTTGGAGGGAGCTGGACCAAGTGCTTGGAAGAAAGGAATCTCTAGTAGATGGATGGAGGAGACAGAGAACAGGAGGCAAGGCCACGATATGCAACCTTGCCCGCTCAGGCAATTCTTCCAAGGACCAGCCTAGCCCACACACTCCAGCACCTGTAGCCTGGTCTGCCTTTGAGCAACAAACCAACAGGTCAGGACAAGGGCTGCCTTTCCTGCTGTGCCCTGCAATTAGCTTGTCCAAACTGGCTGTACGAGGGCTGGGGGCTGAGGGAAAGGCCTGAAAGTACCTTGGCCCAGAGAGGGCAGGTGACTTCACAGTCACCTACGTAGTTAGCACAGAGCCAGCAAAGAGATGCAGCCCGGTGACGGGCCGCCACAGCACTGCCTGCCTGATGGGGCCAAACGTGGGTTGAAGTCAGGACGGGATTACTCAGCCTCCAAAAATGAATCTGCTGAGCCCACAGCTTCACAAGAGGAAGATGACTGGGTGCACGGGGAAGTTCCTCCTGCCTCCCAAGCACTGGCCTTCTCTACCAGGGCAGTGTCTGGACAGGCCTCCACCTTGCTCAAAAATGGTGTGAGAAATCAGCTGAGGTCCAACAAAGAACCAAAAGAAGGAGGAAGAGAGGGGGAGATCACAAAGATCAGCGCGTTGGCATGAAATAGACTTTGGTTCTTACTGGATACGAAACCCTTTAGAATTTACTCAATCTCTCTGGAGTATCGATGTCCTTTTCTAAAGTGGGGATGGTACAACGGCTGATAAATAATAGTGACTCACAATAATAATAAATGTACAAATGTAATAAATCATTACTAAAACGCAAGCCCTGTGAAGAAAGACAACATGAAGTGGCATTCTTTAGCCGAGAAAAGGCTAATATGGCAAAAGGAACTTGGCAGACGTGATTAAGGATCTTGAGATGGGGTAGCATCCGGGATTACCCGGTGGGCCCAGCGTAATCACAAGGATCCTTCTAAGAGGGTCAGAAACAGAGAGAGACTGGAAAATGCTACCCTGCTGGCTTTGAAGATGGAGGATGGGGCCAGAAACCGAGGAATGCGGGCAGCATCCAGATGCTGGAAAAGGCAAGTGAATGGATCTTCCCCAAGTGCCTCCAAAAGGTAGCCCTACCAACACCTTGATCTTAGGATTTCTGGCCTCCAGAAGAGTAAGGTAATAAATTTATGCTGTTTTAAGCCACTAAGTTTGTGGTAGCTTGTTACAGCAGCAGTAGGAAACTAATACAGTTGGGGACGAGTTTTCACCCCCATTTTTCAGATAAGGACTCTGAGGCACAGTGTGGCTAAGTAACCCGTGCAGAGTTGCACAGCCACCAATCCCAAACCAGGACTCAGAGGAGGGCAGGATGTCTCCTGGGCCTGAAGAAGAGAGAGACCTGGCTGCTTGCTAGTTTGGCAGGAGCCTGCATGACCTAAAATCTTCTAGAAAAGCTTTGAAGACAGGCTGTAAGTTGCATAAGGGCCCCCCATCTCCTTCTGCAAATGCAGGTTCTAGGCAAAACGGCAACAAGGACCTGGCTTATGGTGCACACGCATCCCTGGCACCCCATACTGAGTAATGCAAAGTCGGGATCACCCCTCACTTTAGACCTCCCTGCAGCCATCCATGGGACTGGACAAAGCCAAAGTCCAAGGGCTGGTTCAACCACGCCAAAGATAGGCTGTTGATCACCCAAAGAGCCAGGGCCCAGGGGGCTTCCTGAATCTGCCCCGACTACTTAAGACAAACTCTAGCCAGCACTATGGCATCTGGTGGATTTGTTGTTATTATTACTATTCATCAGTAACAGCTACCTATCATGCACCACATTTCACATGGATTACACTGTTGCAAGAGAGCTGTTAAGATCCACCCCCATGTTACAGACGAGGTAACTGATGCCTGGAGAGAGAGGTTAGGTAACCTGCTCTGAAACAATCACCTAAGCAGTGAGCCAGAATTGAAACCCAAGTCAGCCACATTCTAAAGTCCTTGCTTGCAACCACTACTCTAAAGAAAACTTCATTCAAAAATAAAGAGGTAGGGGACAGGGGGAGTGCTTATAAATATTCCGTTTGTACGTGGCCGCTTCAAATCAAGCCAAGCACCATTTCCTAAAAGTGGCCACATATCAAAATCATCTGGGGGCATTTCATGCACATTTCTGCCCTTGGTCCTGATTTAGGGAATCAGGACGTCCAGAGACGGAGCCTGGAAATATTTATTTTCAGCAAGCTCCCTCAGCTCTTCTGATGTAGCCCATCCATAGCTGTGTTCAAAGTGGATTCATTAAAAGGGGAGCATGTCCAGTCCTCTGCTGCACCAGGCTGGCCCAGAGAAGAGGCCAACCAGATGTGAAGATCCCAGGTCCGGCATCCAAGAGGCCCCTGAAGGTAGTTCTAGGGCCTCCTACTCCAGAATAATCAAGAGCAGACTTTCATTTATCCACAACAGGGGACGACTGGGTGAATTTTTGTAGTCTAATTCTAATTTGCAGAATTGGCCTCAAAAACAGCCCAAACACTGTCAACAAATAACATTAGTGGGAAGGCTCGGCCACAACACCTTATATTCACTGGAGGGAGAAATAAGGAGAGGCTTATCTCCAAAGCACTCATCACCAGGAACTTAAGCAATGGAAGCTGGTACGCAGGTTATCTAAATCAAGCACTTTGCACGCTGTCCCTTGATCAGAGACATTGCTGCAGTGCTAAGAGCCCAAGGGGCAGACATGCCATCACAAGCCTTTACTACCAACCACAGGGCTCAATAAGCAAGTTAATTAACCTCTATAACCTTGGTTTCCTCCTCTGTAACAGGGGGTAATAAGAGCCCTTACAACCAAGAGCTGTGTGACAAGTCATGTGACAGTTCACACAGAGTGCAGCACATGGCCCAACCACAGGAAGCGTTCAGAAAGGCATGCCGACCTTGCCACTGCCCAGATCACTGCACTCACATTTCACAGTCACCCTGCTGGAAAGGGGGTGACCCTCGGCAAAAGGAAACACAATAGTGCCGGGATCACAGAGCAGGGAAGAAAAACACCCCATCCTCAGGATGCCATTCGCCCCACCAGCCGCAGTGGTGGTCACTTTGATCGCTAAGCAACAAGAAGGCAGCCATCGGTCCGTCTCATTCACTGCAGCCTCCGTGGCACCCAATGCTGAGTCTGCCACGTGGTGCTCGCTCCAGGCAAATTTGATGAATAAAAGCAATAATGAAGGAATAAAGGAAGGAAAGAAACAAAAAAACACGCAACAGTGCATATTCACACACACAGAGATACCCACCCCACATATACCATGTGCACTTTCCAGGGCACTGCCTTAATTAGAGTTTACTGTGTACCCAGGATGGCACTATGCCATTTATGTTATCCTTCCTACGTTACAGATGGGGACCCTGAGGCATAGAAAAAAGAAATGATTTGCCCAAGGATGTAAATACAATTAGTATATGGTGGAACCAGGAACCATGTGATTACGTGACACCAAAGCGCTTGTTATCTCCATGCCAAACTGCCTTTCTGCTTCCCCTGCCCTTCTCTGCTACCACAGCCTGCCTTCAAACAGAGGTACGGTGCCTCTGAGCTCAGGAGGATCCTTAATTCAACGTGCTCTTGGGCAAGGAGCATTAGAAAGTGCAGATGCTTTGGTCAACCCGGTCCCCAGGAGGACCAGGACTGTAGAAGCAGGCAGACTGAAGCCTTGGGCCGGAGAGATTATTGAGTAATCAGAAGAGGTTTGGGCTCTCCAAGAGCTCATGGTCTAGTGGGGAGGACCGAGGTTATAAGCATCACCCCTGACAGAATACGCTATTATTTATTGTCTTACCTGTCTTAACTGCTATGAAGGAAACACACAAAGAGCTATGAGAATATGTGGCCAGGGGCCAGCCTGAGCAGGTGTGAGAGCTGGGGAACTCCTCTCTGAAGCGACATCGAGGTTAGGCAGCAGGCAGGGAGGGAGTACTGGAGGAGGGAGGGGTGCCGGGCACAGCGCTCTCTTCCTTTCCACTCTGACTCTTAGCCCCAGCTCCAACCTGCCAATACGAGACAAGCTGTGCTGTGCAGCTGACGCTGCCTCGTGGTGCTCCGTTACGCAGAGGGTCTGAATACAGCCCCCTGCCCAGCGTGCCATCAAGGTCCAAGCAAGCCTGGGCGTGAGCTCAGGGAGCTAGAGTCAACAAGTCCGGGCACTGACTAATGGCCCTACGTCTGTCCAGTGCCACTGGGAGGCGAGGAATTATATCCCAGCTGATCAAGGCCTCTGTTTAGCTTGTTAGAGCACTGCGTTTACGAAATGGTTTCCTTAGGAACCACGTACAAGGGAAGAACAGAAAACCCAGAAATTGGTCAGAAACCTAAAACATATAATCAAAACAAAGTTGTTTTTTTTTTAAACCATAGCCTGATGGTCTTTCCCCCCGAAACCTAACTCACAAGCCAGGTTGTGAATATTCAATTATGACTCACAAAGTTCAACGGGCGACCCCACGGCAAAGTTCAAAAACCCTGTTTCTGCACGAAGGCAATTACTCACACTCCAGAATGCACTTCACTCACCAGGCCATCAGACACATACTGCTTTTCAGACATAAATGTTCCACGGTTGGTGCTTTTTTTGATGACTGCTTTATTTTACAGTTTATTTCCTAGTTAGGCAGAAGTAAGTCGGCCTCGCTGTTACTGTTGCTATTTTATGCATTTTAGGCAAGGCCTTTCTCTATTTCTTTGTTTTAACCAACTAAAGTAAATATGCTGACTATCATAGGATCAAGTTGCTCAATACTTATTACATAAGGCCGTGCACTCCAGTTCAAAGAACACTGAACCCAGAGTCAAACTGGCTGGGCCACTAACTTTTGACCTAAAGCAAATCCCCTTCCCTCTTTGAACCTAACAGTCACGCCCAGTAAAATGAGAGTGTTGCTCTAGAACCTGGGTTCCCAAACCCAAGGATTTTCCCTTGGAATCCACTAGGGAGTTATGTTAAAAATGCAAGTTCGGGCTTCCCTGGTGGCGCAGTGGTTGAGAGTCTGCCTGCTGATGCAGGGGACACGGGTTCGTGCCCCGGTCCAGGAAGATCCCGCATGCCGCAGAGCAGCTGGGCCCGTGAGCCATGGCCGCTGGGCCTGCGCGTCCGGAGCCTGTGCTCCACAACGGGAGAGGCCGCGGCAGTGAAAGGCCCGCGTACCGCAAAAAAAAAAAAAAAAGCATCCTGGGACTTCCCTGGTGACACAGGGGTTAAGAATCCGTCTGCCAATGCAGGGTACATGGGTTAAAGCCCTGGTCTGGGAAGATCCACATGCCATGGATCAACTAAGCCCGTGTGCCACTACTACTGAGCCTGCACTCTAGAGCCCATGCTCCACAATGGGAGAAGCCACCACAATGAGACACCTGTGCACCGCAACGAACTGCCGGCCGGCAGGACTCTGAGATCCTTCTAGTGCCAGCATCCCGTGACTTTCTGAAATAAGGCAGAGGAGATTAAAATATAACCACTTCCCTATAAAGGATGGATTTCTGAATTTCAATTCCCTTATTGGAGTTAGTGCAAAGTAGGGGTAGCTCAACACTTGACAGAGAAGTTTGCTTAACACTGAGAAACAGCCCACATACACTCCACAGGTCACTAACAGCTTTCTAAATACACATTTCAAGCTTCCTAATTAGTAGAGGTCTGACCAGACAGGCAAACGATTGCCTAAATCAGGGGATTCTTTAAAACAGTGTGGTATTGGTACAAAAACAGGCATATGGATCAATGGAACAGAATAGAGAACCCAAAAATAAACCCACACACCTATGGTCAATTAATCTTTGACAAAGGAGGCAAGATTATAAAATGGGAAAAAGACAGTCTCTTCAGCAACTGGTGTTGGGAAAGCTGGACAGCTGCATGTAAATCAGTGAAGTTAAAACACATCCTCACACCATACACAAAAATAAACTCAAAATGGCTTAAAGACTTAAACACAAGACATGACACCATAAAACTCCTAGAAGAGAGCATAGGCAAAACATTCTCTGACATAAATTGTACCACTGTTTTCTTACGTCAGTCTCCCAAGGCAATAGAAGTAAAAGCAAAAATAAACAAATGGGACCTAATCAAACTTACAAACTTTTGCACAGCAAAGGAAACCATAAAAAAATGAAAAGACAACCTACGGAATGGGAGAGAATATTTGCAAATGATGCAATAGACAAAGGTTTAATCTCCAAAATATACAAACAGCTCATACAGCTCAACAACAAAAAAACAAACAATCCAATTGAAAAATGGGCAGAAGACCTTAATAAGACATTTCTCCAAAGAAGACATACAGATGGCCAGTAGGCACATGAAAAGATGCTCAACATCGCTAATTATTAGAGAAATGCAAATCAAAACCATAATGAGGTACCACCTCACACCGGTCAGAATGCCCATCATTAAAAAGTCTACAAATAACAAATGCTGGAGAGGGTGTGGAGAAAAGGGAACCCTCCTACACTCTTGGTGGGAATGTAAATTGGTAGAGCCACTATAGAAAACAGTATGGAGGTTCCTCAGAAAACTAAAAATAGAATTACCATATGACCCAGCAATCCCACTCCTGGGAATATACCCGGACAAAACTATAGTTCAAAAAGATACATGCACCCCTATGTTCACAGCAGCACTGTTCACAATAGCCAAAACGTGGAAACAACCTAAATGTCCATCGACAGACGAATGGATAAAGAAGATGTGGTACATGTATACAATGGAATAAAAAAGAATGAAATAATGCCATTTGCAGCAACATGGATGCAACTAGAGATGATCATACTAAGTGAAGTAAGTCAGAAAGAGAAAGACCAATACCATATGATATCACTTAAATGTGGAGTCTAAAATATGGCACAAATGAACCTGTCTACAAAACAGAAACAGACTCATAGACAGAGAACAGACTTGTGGTTGCCAAGGGGGAGGAGGGGAGGGAGAGGGTGGACTGGGACTTTGGGGTTGGCAGATGCAAACTATCACATTTAGAATGGATAAACAACAAGGTCCTACTGTAGAGCACAGGGAACTATATTCAGTATCTTGTGACAAACCATAATGGAAAAGAATATGAAAAAAGAATGTCTATACGTGTATAACTGAGTCACTGTGCTGTACAGCAGAGACTGGCACAACACTGTAAATCAACTATGCTTCAATAAAGAAAATTTTTTTAAATGAAAATAAATCAGGGGATTCTTTACTGAGTCCACACACCCTCTGCATCTTAATATAAAATTTGTGTGTGCACAAGTATCTATTTTATTTTACTAGAGAGGATCCATTGCCTTCAGGCACTTCAGAATCCCAATTCTGAAGACTGCCCGATATATCTCTTAATTAGGCCACCCACGCAGGCAACCTGGTGCTGCTGGTTGCTGTGAGCAACACAGAGGTGACAAAGACACAGCCTCTGCCTTCAAAGAGTGGTTGCAGGGAGGGATGGCGGGGAGAGAGAAGTACACACGTGAGTTAACCCCGAAGCAGAGGAAGAAAAGCACCTCAGGAGGGGTGTTAGCAAGGCATCTGGGAGTTTGGAGGAAGTGTGTCTCCTTCATGCTCAAGCAACATGGAGAGTTGGCAGTTAAGCTGGGTGGGGCTGGAAGGACAGAAAAACAAAAATGCTTTTAGGAATGCAAAGAAATAAAGATGGTGGGCAGGGTGAACATCAATCCAGAGGGTTGTGTCACCAACTGAGGCCCAGGGAGAATTTAGCAAAAGGGAAATAACTCATTTGGATTTCAGCATGTGAGAGAGCAGTTCTTTGATACTTATCACAGATACAACTTCAGTTATACCATTTGCAATTTGGCTATGGTGCCAATTTAAACCTGTGCAGCTGATAAATGGTAAATGTTTCTTAGATGATGGGTAAACACAGCTGGTAACCAGTGGTTCTCAAGCACTCCTCATAAACCTTGTGAAAGAGGTATTCTATCCCATTCTCCAAAAGAAGTCACCGTAGACATCATAGCCTATAATCACTAGTTTGAGGAATCATGAAGTTCTTGCACATATCCATGGTGAACTTCAAAGGTCCACTTCTGTATTAAATGATGGTGAACAGTAAAGACAACAGCTAGGACAAAATATTAAGGAATGGTGTTATCTTCATTTATGAGGTTCATGAAGATTGCTGAGTGGCAATATCATATAATTATTACCTGGGCTCTACGAAGCTTAATCCTGCAAAACTACGTAAGATGGATGAGAACAGGGAGGTTGGCAGAAAGGAGAGCAGCTGGCATGGGTAGAGGAGCCATGTGGCCAAGTCCTGTGATCATAAAAAACTTCCAATGATCCCCAAGTGAGGCTCTACATACAATCAGAGGGGGTCACTGAGACAAGACTGAAAGATGCTCACCAAACAGCTTTTTTTTTTTTTCCTGCGGTACGCGGGCCTCTTACCGTTGTGGCCTCTCCCGTTGCGGACCACAGGCTCCAGACACGCAGGCTCAGCGGCCATGGCTCACGGGCCCAGCCGCTCCACAGCATGTGGGATCTTTCCGGACCGGGGCACGAACCCGTGTCCCCTGCATCGGCAGGCGGACTCTCAACCACTGCGCCACCAGGGAAGCCCTCACCAGACAGCTCTAAACTAAGGTTCCACAAGGAATGTGGTACCTATAAATAAATAATGGAGGTGACCTCGGCAAGATAGCAGAATAGGAGATCCCCAGCTCTAGCCCCCTCACAGAAACTCCAACTTAGCAACTATCCACAGACAAGAATGCCTTTGTTAGCATCCCTGGACCCAGGGGTAAGGTTACAGCATCACAGAAGAACACAAAAACTGAGAAAATCTACATTAAGAAGGGTAAGAGGAATAGCTTCACTTCATCCTTGATAAATGAATAATGTTTTAACGTTATCTTGTAATGACTTATAAATAGTACAGATGAATGGCATTATTTTCTTAAAAGCATTAATTTCTTAAAAGATAAGCAGACTGAATTTCCCTATTACTGTTTTGAAATTCTTTCTCTCTCTCAGGTTCTGAGCTTATTTCAGATGGCTAAGTAAATGGTCACAAGAGCATAAGGTACGATGGTGGCCTGGCAAAGAGAAGAAAGGGCTGAACTGAAGCCATGTAACAGTGGAGCCTAGAGAGGACCTGACAGCTCCTCCAGGATGGGAGTCAAGAGTGACTATGCAGTTTCTGGTCTAGGTCCAGGAGGACGAGGGTGTGATTAATAGAGGGGGAAGTCAGGAGAGGAAGGGGCATGGATGAGCTGGGTTCCATGTTGGGTGTGAAGGATTGTGTGTATTCTTTTTGTCTATCTGGCTTAAATAAGCCAAATTAGCACCACTGACAACACTGCTCCTGAATGGGAGTGAAGGACAGTGCAGAGCCTTAGCTCAGTGCTCTGCCTTGGACCATGGAAATGCAAACCATCAGAGAAACACCTATGCAGTTTTCAGGAGAATCACAAATTCCTTTAGATAACTAAGTCACTTGTCACAGATTTCATCCAAAACTCGCCTCTGAGCTTAGCTCACAGCAGGTGTTATATACATACCACTGAGCCTCTACAGGGAAGCCTGGGCAGAACAGAGGAAAAGGGTGGGGACTAAATGCTATCACCAGACTTAGTTTAGAGTGCATTCAGTCTGTTGCCCACTCTGAAAACCAAGGGGATCCACTGCCCCAATTCACACACCCCTGCCAATAAATGAATGAATGGATATAGAATATAACCCGTAGAACCAGAGAGTGATAAAGACTAATGGGGAACTTTGAGATCATCCCAGCCAATCGACTGTTTTTACAGATGAAGAATCCAAGGCCTATAGAGGAGAAAGCACAGAAGTATTTAGGGGCAGGCGGAATTCTCCTGATTCTTCTTCCTACCACCTGAGAGCAAATCAAAAAGGATGCTCAGGGCTTCCCTGGTGGCGCAGTGGTTGAGAGTCCGCCTGCCGATGCAGGGGACACGGGTTTGTGCCCCGGTCCGGGAAGATCCCACGTGCCGCGGAGCGGCTGCGCCCATGAGCCATGGCCGCTGAGCCTGCGCGTCCGGAGCCTGTGCTCCGCAACGGGAGAGGCCACGACAGTGAGAGGCCCGCGTACCGCAAAAAAAAAAAAAAAAAAAAAGGATGCTCACTTCCCAGGGCATAGCACCTTCACCTGCAGTGGTTGAGGTACATATCATAGGGCATCTGGCACTATTTGCTTTAATTGCTGTAGGAAAGAGAAGCCTAGAGGTGGATATAGAAAAAGAAGAGAAGGCACATTCTCTAAGCATGTTTTTACTGTGGTTCACTGCATTTTTTAACAACGGCTCACACTACTAATTATTAGTCAACTAATGACTTTTAAGAGAAATAATATCAATACCTATTTTTCTGTATATGGGATCTGAAATCTGTATACAGGGTTTACTTCTTTTAAAAAAAGGGAAGGAAATCAAGATCATATGTTCACTCTGAAATAAAGTATGTTTTGTGTGCCTTGAGCAGAAGAAAAAATAGAAGCCCTTGCTGTAACTCATTGCTCATTTTGTAACATGCTTTTAAGAGGATCTGTAAATCATAAAACTCTCAAGAGTTAGAAATTAAATTTCAAAAACAGCATTGGCTGTCTTGACCAGGTAACATTACTGAAAGGCTCATTATAGCTAGAATTTATGGCAGAACAACATGGATAAATCAGATTATATTAAGAGAAAAACAGATAATGATACAAAGCTCACATTAACACAGAGGGCTTTTAAGTTTGCTTTGAATAAAAATTTTCTACTCACATAAAATTTTAATTGAAGAAGAGATAGTTATCCAATTACCTTAATCTCACCTTAATTTCCTAAGGAAAGTTTCTAAAATCAGAAAATGTTAAAAGAAAAAAAATAAGCTACATCTGGAGAGATGACTGACTAAGGATCAGACCCTTATTCTGATATCTAACAATTTCAAGTAATCTATCTAGAAATTCCTCAATCCGCATTGGAAACCACAGTTTTGCTTGAGTTATAAGAAAAAGAAAAAATATGTATATATTTTAAGCCAAAACTATAAGAACTTTCATATATTGCTTATGAGAGTAATTACCAGAACAAGACCACATGAAAAGCAATTTAACAATATCTATCAAAATCACAAATCCATATATCCTCTGACCCAAAAATTCTATTTCTGAAAATGTATCTTATAAATAAACTTGCACACATACAAGGTTACTTACAGCAGCAATATTTGTTAATCGAAGACTAGAAATAGTCTAAATGCCCATCAATAGGACACTTGTTAAATAAATCATGGTACAGTTATACAGTGGAATACTATGTATCAGCAGAGGTAAATGATAAAGTGCTCTCTGTATTGTATGGAAAAATCTCCAAAATATTAAGTAAAAAATTCAAGGAACCAAAGAATGTGCATTATAAGCCACATTTTACATTAAAAGGGAAGCAAGGAAAAATAATAATTTATGTTTGCTTCTAAAGAGATTTTTTTAGAGATAAAGAAATTTAAAATAAAGAGATTTTGGAAAGATACATAAAAAACTGGGGAGGTGGAGAATGAGACGGGAGGGAGGTATTTCACTGTGTATCTTTTTATTCTCTTTGATTTTTGAACTATGGGAATACATTACCTATTCAAAAAATGAAGTAATTTTCAAGCAGCAAGAGCTATCTACTTAATGCTCAAACCATTTTATTAAATGAAATGCTTCCTTATAACAAAGAAAGCAGAGATTTTAGCATATCCTCAAACAAACCTGACCTTTGAACCTTTAAGCGAAATATGAAATTAGATGACTCTTGTCCTTATTTCTTTAACAGAAGAAGTGTTTTTTATACACCTTGCATAAATGTAACACGTTGAGTACTTTAGTCTAAAAAATAATCCCATTTCAATGTTTCCAAGTTAAATCTAAACTTGGTTACTGACATTAAAAAAGAGCCAAATTCCAGCAATGCTGTTAAATTTTCAGAGCTTTCCTTTCTCACCACAGAAAACACCCATACCTCTGTCAGAATGGTTCTTCCTCCCGTGGGGGATTCGGTTAAGGCAAAGAATATATCCATCTTCTGTCACAACTAGGTGTTCCTCACTAGGGAATCCCCAGTGAGAGATAATTTCACTCTGCAGAGCAAAAGAGAAGACAAAGTGTCAATGACATTCTCCAGGTTTTACTTAAGAAGTGAATTGTTACTGAAATTTCAGTCTGCTCAATCTAGTAGCCGACATCCCATCGCAAAAGTAAATCCTCCACTTGTTTTACCTCTGTGTTCTACTCATAGACGTTCAGCTAAACCATTTTAACATGTTCTACACCAAGTGTGTCTTATTTTACCATAGCTTTGGGCTTCTTTGTTTCCATCCTGGCTCCCAGGTACAAATAAACACGTCTTTCTTTCTTTTCTAAATATGCCAGGTAATACTGTAATCTACCATTTTCCTTGTTTTAAGAGACCCCATCCAGGGAAATGAAGCATAAAAAGTATTAATCTGTTTTTAACCAATGGACCAATAAAACTGCACTAGAATGTCAAGGTAGAGTTGAACAAGAAAAGATAAAATGATTGTGATAGCATACGCTATTTGTTTTTCTCTTTCTGACTTACTTCACTCTGTATGACAGACTCTAGGTCCATCCACCTCACTACAAATAACTCAACTGCGTTTCTTTTCATGGCTGAGTAATGTTCCATTGTATATATGTGCCACATCTTCTTTATCCATTCATCTGTCGATGGACGCTTAGGTTGCTTCCATGTCCTGGCTGTTGTAAATAGGGGTGGGATAGGGAGGGTGGGAGGGAGACGCAAGAGGGAGGAGATATGGGGATATATGTATATGTATAGCTGATTCACTTAGTTATAAAGCAGAAACGAACACACCATTGTAAAGCAATTATACTCCAATAAAGATGTTAAATAAATAAATAAATAGATTGTGGTAATCATTTTACAATATATACGTAGTGTAAAACATCATGTTGTACACCTTAAACTAATACAATGTTATATGTCAATTATATCTCAATAAAACTGGAGGGAAAAGAGGAAAAGTAAGGAATTATGATCAAATTCACTACTCCATAAGGAAAGATCCATGGGGCAATTGTTTTTTGTTTTCTTTTTTTTTAAACTGAGGTATAGTTGATGTACAATATCATATAAGTTTCAGGTGTGCAACACAGTGATTCACAATTTTTAAAGGTTAAATTCCATTTATAGTTATTATAAAATATTGGCTACATTCCCTGTGTTGTACAACATATCCTCGTTTATTTATTTTATACACAGCAGTTTGTACCAATTAATCCATGGGGCAATTGTTAATTGGAAGCTCAGTGGCATATGGATAACTCAGTTATCCAGAAGACTTAATGTAAATAAGTACTCATTATTCTCTCTACCACAAACACTTAAAAGGATTTAAGTTTATCATTCTTACAGGAAAAAAATTTTTAAATAAAAATGCTTTTAACTTAAAAAAAGCTTAAAAAGAAAAGATTTGGGACAAGAAATAAAATGTAACCTTAAGACCCGGATATCAGGTCATACTCTCTTGGCTGACTATAAATTTATCTCCATCTCCAAGGTTGCCTGATTCTTCCGTTGTGTCACTGCATCATCTGTTTTAAAGCTGCTGTTTTCTGTAGCAACATGTACTTTCCTGATATTTTATGCCTAAATAAGGTATCTCCAGATTTAATTGCTTACTTAAGATTAATAACTTTGAAATGTTTTCATTACTCGAAGGATTATTTTTGCTTATTTGTTCTAACAATTTTTTTTTCAGGTACTTTGATTTTCGTATTGAACTATGGACACTGGTATCTGTCCTTGTTCAGCACATTGAGTATTAGCATTCTTCCAAAGTTTTGACACTTTTTTTTTATTGTTGTTTAAACAAATTCAGTGAGACTTAAAAATGAAATGAATGTATAAAAATAACACTTATCTTACTAAGAAGTATATGTTTTAACAGTAAATGAGGTTTGTAAAATACACATTACCTTTTAGGTATAGTCCAGCTAGCTGAATCCAAGATTTGGAGAACGGGAAAAACATAATGAGATATAAAGAGAATAGAGTTTGTGGCTTCGTGTAGCTACATAACTGGATTTCAGAAAATAATTAACATTGATCACAGATGCCTTTTTGAAAACAGATGACTTTGAGAAACTTACCACATTCATATTTGTTTCAGGATCCACAGGTGCCAGCTTCCCTCTGGATTCCTCGGAATGCAGGGTCCCAAGGACCAAACAGACCACCAAACACCAGAGCCACATTTTCATTCTGTATAAAACAGTCTGTTGTTACTTGTCTACACAAAGTTTTACTACACAAAATTATGTTGGTAAATAATGCTCCCATACAAAGTTCTGAACCAGGTTTAGGTCAAGTAAAAGTTAGGTAAAGGGCAAATATAGAACAAATGACTCAAGCCATACCTCGAAGCAAAAACTGAGGAATTCTTTTTTACTGGGAAACCTCCCACCCGCCACCCCCAGTTAATATGTGACATTTGGAGCTCAGAACACCCACTCACACCCAGGTGGTTAAACATAATGTTCCCAGAGAAATAGCAGAAAGGAGGACTCAGAAGAGAACAGGCTGAGAAAAAGGAAGATCCCCCAAATTCCAGAGCCTGTTAACCTCCCACCTTTTCCTAATTGTAATTTAAACACTTTTAAGTTCAGCGATATGAGCTCTTGCTCCCACTAGCTATTCACTTCCCTTAGTGCATAAAATTACACCCAAGGGAAAAGGTGTAATGAAAGAAAAGAGAGCTTGTAAGAGAAATAGAGGGAAAGAAGACCACCCCTCTTTGCTTCTGAGACCCTCCAGCCATTAACAAAGACCATCTAGTTTCTGGCAGTGATGGCACAAAATCACAGTGTAGCAAAGACCTTGAGGATGGATGTTAAAGGCAAAATGAAGTGACTCTTCCAAGGACACCCAGATGGTTAGAGGCAAAGCTGGGACAACAGCCCAGGCCTCCCACACTTTTTAAAATAAATATAATCATTCAAAAAGATGCATGAGTGTATACCCATACAAAGACTTGTATAAAAATGTTTGTAACAGCTCTATGTGCAACAGCCAAACACTGGAAAAACCCAAATGCCCCTAATGGGTGAATGGGTCAACATATTGTGATATATACATACTACTCAGCAATAAAAAGGAATGCACATAAAATAACATGGATGGATCTCAAAACAATTATGGTGAGTGAAAGAAGCGAGACCATATAAATAAATATGTATGATTTCATTTCTATAAAACTCTAGAAAATGCAACCTTATCTCTATTGACGTAAAGCAGATCAGTGGCTGCCTGCGGAGACGAGGGCCAGGAGCTAAGCGTTGCAAAGGGAAATCTTTTGCGGGTGATGAACAGGTTAATGATATTGGACGTATCACAGTTTCACATGTGTATACATATCAAAACATAAAATTATACATTCTAAATACGCCCTGCTATTGTACGTCAGTAATACAATACAGCTGTTTTTAAGACTTGGGCTTAAACTGAGTATTCCACAAGTCTTAAGAAATTGGTTCTCAGAAGACTGCAAAAGTGAACTGACTTCCTTCTGTCGATGCATCTCTTGATGGTGCTACAGTGATTTCTCCCAGCAGTGGTGAACCTGGAACTTCTAGACAGGAGCGGATGATATCTTGAGTCTCTACTGGCAAAGCAAGCCCACTGTGCTTACTCACAAGTTTGTGTTTCTTTACAGTGGTTGGGAAGGGCTGTACAGTTCTGGGCTACCTTTTATTATAAATATAACCTTCCAAAAGCCCATTATTACTCAGGAATAAGGAGTATACTGAAAAGAAAAGTGAAAGTCTGTAACCACAATTTGAAACAGTGAAGCCTCTCGCAGTACCTGCGTTTCCACTCAGGCCTATCCTCCGGGACCTGGACCAGCTGTCCACAATGGAAGCTCCAGGAAGATAACAGCTGAAGCCACTCAACTGGAAATGTCACCCAGCTGATTTTTCCTTCCAACAAAACACTAGTTTTTCAACCTACTAGTCCAGTAATTGTCATAAGGATGAGGACTGAGAAGTTCAAAAGAGAAAAAGCCTCCTCCAGGATGCATGCAATGTACTTTACTGGGCTCTCTTAGCAACTTTTATCTCAATTCTTTTTATACTGTAACAATCCAATTAAGTACTTGTCTGTCTTCATTTTACCCCAGCCCAAGGGCAGAGCCAGCATCTGAGTCAACTCTGATGCCCCAGGACCTAGCAAAGTGTAGATGCACAAGACAGATTTTGAAAAATGGGATTAGGGCGGTCCAGAGATCAGTGGCTGAAGAAAAGCTCCAAAGCAGCTTGTTATTCAGCTTTCTAATAATAACAACACCACTAATAATTTCCGCTCCCATTTAACTCCTGCTATGCTCCAGACTTCCGCAGGCAGCGCTTCCGACCTACTATGTTAATTACGCCTTCGTCAACTCTCTGCAGTACCGTTAAGTCCTTTTTCCAGGAAACTGAGGCTCACCCAAGTTAAGTACTGGAAGCAAAATGCCAACTGGTTAAATAGTATCGCCAAGATATTCACCAGGACCGATGTCAAACCGTTCTCGACCACACCTTGCCTAACAAGTTAGAGTGGTCTGCAGGCCACCTGGGGGAGTTAATGGGAGTAAAAGACAAGGAGGAAGGAGGTGAGGGAAGCTGGGAATCAGAAATCCTGGTTGTCGCTGCAGCCCAGCGGTGACCGCGCCTGCCCAGGAAACCCGAGGGCACCTGGGAAAGGGTAGGCAAATTCCAGACAGCCCTCAATTCCTGGGTCCCCGCGAGATGCCTCGGGCGACCGCCTGCAGAAGAGGCACCCGCAGGTGCTCCAGGTAAGACGCGCCGGAGCCCAGCGCAGAGAGTTCTGCCGGCATGCAGAGGCTCAGGGCCGGCGGGAATGAGCCTCGGAAGCGGTGCGGGGCCCTGGCCTCAGAGCCAGTGGGGGGAAGCCGAAGCTGCGGCACCCGCACCTGGCAGCGCAACGGGGCCGGCACTCACCTGGAGCAATCCTCCCGGGCCGCTGTCCACAGCCGCAGTGCCAGCTCGCGGGGCTGGGTCCCCGGCTGGGACCTGGAAGGGGCGGTGACGGCTGGACGCCAGGGCCCGCTCCCGCCTCCGGCTACCAGCGCCCCCAATCAGAGCAGCCGGCCGCCGGGAAGTGCCGTGGAGACACCGCCTAGGCCTAGCGCCGCCGCCGCTTCTGAGAGGGTCTACCGCTGAAGCGGAGCATGCGCCATGGACCAAGAGGTGCGGCGCCCTGCGGCCTCCTCCCCGGCGGAGTCGTTTACCAGCTACACCTGCAGGCCGCACCCGCCCGGTCTCCTAGTGGCTGCGCCCGGCTCTGCCCCAGGGGCTCTTGCAAGGCCTCCACTCTCTGCGCCTAGCACGGAAAACATAGGCTCTACAGATGAAAAGAAATTATATGCTACGTATAAAGCCCTTAGCGGTGTGCCTGCTGCAAAGTAATCTTACTGTACATTTTACTTTTATTGCTAAGATGCCTAGCATTATTAAGACACTAGGGGTATAGTAGCCAAACAAGAGCCCTCTTCTCCAGCTTACATTCTAATAGGAAGAAACACCATGAATAAATTAAAAAATGAGGTAATGGAAAGTGCTATGAAGAGCAATAAAAAACTAAAGGGATAATGAAGGTGGGTGCTATGTCATGTACAAGGTAATCAGGAAAGGACTCTCTGATGAAGTGACACCGGAGCACAAACAAAAAGGAGGTGACTCAGAGCCATGTGGATACTGGGGAAGGAGTATTCTGAGATGAGAGAATAGCAAATGCAAAGGTCCTGAGGCAGGAATATTCTTAGTAGGTTCTAGTAAGCGAAATTCGGTCAGCGTGGCTGGAACAGAATGCGCGTGGTGGAGAGTGGTAGAACATGAAGTCCTAGAGGTGCCTTGGGGGCCAGTTGTAACGACTCTGCTATTTCTTCTGACCAAGATAAGAAGCCATTGGAAGGTTTTCAGGAGAAAGGCAACAAAACCTTGCCAATCATATCATTTGTAAATATTTTTCCCCATTCCATAAGTTGTCTTTTTATTTTGTCAGTGATGTCCTTTGCTGTGCAAAAGCTTTTAAGTTTAACTAGATTCCCCCTCCCCTTTTTTTGCTTTTGTTTCCTTTGCCTTTGGAGACAGATCTAAAAATATATGTATATATTACTATGATTTGTGTCAAAGAATGTTCTGCCTATGTTCTCTTCTAGGACTTTTATGGTTTCAGGTCTTACATTTAGGTCTTCAATCCATTTTGAGTTTATTTTTGTATATGGTGTGAAATGTTCTAATCTCATTGTTTTGCATATAGCTGTCCAGTTTTCCCAGCACCACTTGTTGAAGTGTCTTTTCTCCATTGTATATTTTTGCTTCCTTTGTCATAGATTAATTGGCCATAGGTGTGTGGGTTTATTTCTGGGCTCTCTATTCCATTCCCTCTTAATAGTTTAACTGCCAGCAGGCCATTTTTCACTTTGTCACAAAGAAGGGGCTAATTGAGTCCTGAAGGAAATGGGGGAGATCGCCCTGTCAATATTGGGGCAGGGGAGCCTTCCAGGTGGAGATTCAGAGGGTGGCAGGGGTAGAGGTAAGGATGGGGAAGTCCATCATGTATGGCCACATAAATCCTTGTGAGAACTTTGGCTTTTACTGATTTGAAAATGCTTTTGTTGTTTTATTTTAATATTGCTTATTATTGAGTTTGTGGTTGTTCTGTGATACACTTACATGATATTTTAAAACAATGAAATTGTGCTTATGTCTTTAAACAATTTGTTTGCAGTGCCTTCTATACCCCTTGTAACATTATAATCCACAAATTTCTGTTGGAGTTCTATAACATATTATCATTTTAAAAATGATTCATGGTTCAAAACAAAACAAAAACCAGACAAATGAAAAAACAAACAAAAAAACTCAGAAGAGCTATTAAAGTAGAGAGAGAGAGAGAGGGCAATTACACTTTTTGTCTGTACCATTCATTTCATTACAGAGAAGGAATCTTCCAAAGAGAAGAACCAGGCTAAATCCCTGGGATCTTTAGGAGAAAAGAAGGCATGAAAGGGAGCAGACTGAGACCTGAGTAAAGGCCACAGTGGTCAGCAGTGCTGGGTTCTCCCACAAGATCCTGGTTACCCTGTAAACCCTGGGAATATGGAAATCAGTGTCAATACTAAGTGCCAACCAATTGTAGACAACCAGGCCAGTCTCACAATTACTCTCATAAGATCAGTCTTTCCAAGTATTGCAGA